GTTTATTTGAATTTAGAGTCACAGATAAAACGTAGTTCTTTGCACTTCATGTCTGAACAAAAATTTACTGAGGCAAACTCTGTAGATTAGTAGTATTATCTGTGGCTTAAAAGTCATATTTGGACTCTGGATTCTTATTTTTTGTATATACTTGGTTATCCATTTTCCTTTCTGTATTTTAATGAATCCTCTTCGCAATAAATCTGAGCTGTTGATTAATACCTCCTTATATTATGTGCTAAAAGTATCATCTAAAGGTAAATAGCTTTTTTTATCTCAGTTGTCAAAAAGATTTATGAAATGGCATTTAAACAGGATCAACTAAAGAAGAAAAAGAAGTTTTACATAATTTCAAAGACTCTTTATAATATAGGTGCATGTTCATCAATCAGTCTTTTTATAATCTAGCATATACTTTATTAAAATACCTTGGTGAATGAAATAGGCATTATATTTTGATATTCATAACTGTGAATGGCCTTAAGATCTCCTCTTGCGAATGTCTAAATGAAGCTTAGTTACATAGAGATTTACTATGCATGGTTTGACTTTTATTTACTTGATTTTGATTTTTTTTTTCTTGTGTAACGAATATGCTGCTTGCTTTTGATAAATTTCCCTTTGTGTTATTATTTCAGGTTATGCAGTTGTTGAAGGAATGCCTGTGAGAGAGCGTCGGCTTCCCTGTTGTGGTATTGGCTTTGGCTGGTTCTTGTAAGTGATAATTTACATTTCACAGCATTAACTTATAGGCGTATGATTTACCCAAAAAACTTGTAGGTGTATTATAATCATATATAAGTTTTGTTATATATTTGTTTGGTTAGTTTTGAATGTTTTGATCACCATATATTTTAGCCTCAGATTCTGCTAGAGTCTGATTGCCTTTAACTATTTTTTACTACCTGATATGTTCTTTTGCTGAAATTTCCTTTGCTTTTTCTTTTTTGTTTTGTGAATTCAAATCTCAATTTATGCTATTGATTATAAGGAAAATACTTTGATTTTCTATCTATTTTTAGGGATAGGTTTCTGTGAGATTACAACATGCATAAAAACCACAGTGGAATTAAAATGTTATCCTTATTTTGTATTACGGTAGTGGGCTACCTGATTGAGCTCAACAGTGAAATTAGCAAATGATTGTGATAACTGATATGTCATTGCCAGCAAATTTTTCTCATGCTCTTCGCGGATGATATAGTTCTTATGGCGGAATCAAAAGAAGAGATTAACACTAGTTTAGAGTTATGGAGAAGGACTTTGGAGTCGAAAGGTTTCCGTTTGAGCAGGAACAAAACAAAATATATGCATTGTGATTTTGGAGGGAGGCAAGGTAATGGGGATTTGGAGGTGAGGATGGGAGAGCAAATTATTTCTCAAGTTTCAAAGTTTAAATACGTAGGATCCATTATACAGGAGGATGGGGAAATTGATGGAGACATTTCTCATAGAATTCAAGCTGGCTGGTTAAAGTGGAGGAAAGCTACCGGAGTTATTTGCGATAAGAAGGTATCTGAGAAACTTAAAGGAAAATTTTATCGGACTGCTATAAAACCAGCTATGATGTATGGTAGTGAATGTTGGGCAATAAAGGGAAAACAAGAGCACAAAGTCGGAGTAGCATAAATGAGGATGTTGAGATGGATGTGTGGTCATACAAGAAAAGATAGGATTCGAAATGAAAATATCAGGACAAGAGTCGGTGTGACACCTATCCAAGAGAAAATGGTTGAAAATCGCTTAAGATGGTTTGGACATGTGCAGAGAAGGCCTTTGGAGGCCCCGGTGAGGAGGGTGGATCAAATAAGATGGAGTCCCATAAAAAGAGGCAGGGGAAGACTGAGAAGAACGTTGAATGAGATCATTGAACGAGACCTCCTAGTCAATAACATATCTAAGGATTGGGTTGTTGACAGAGCATGATGGCGTCGTGTGATTCATGTAGCCGACCCCACCTAGTGGGATAAAGCTTGTTGTTGTTGTATGGTTGGTTTTAAAGGATTGGACTTTACAGTTCATTTTACTCTGGAAGGGGGGAGATGGAAACGGCATGAAATTTGGTCCTTTCATGAGACCCTTCCTGAACATCAACCAAGTTGGTCCCCTTCGAGGCAAGCTGCTCTGAGTTTCAGTAGTTTGTATCTATCGGTACCGACAATTTTTTTTTCCTATTACTGCACCCATCCTCTCCGCCCCTCAAAGGAGAAGGGAAAGATGATGGAGCCAGTATTTTGATTAGGATCGTGATATTGATTGGTACGGTTGGCATTTTTTTATTTCTAAGTTGGAGCCATTATTATATGATTCATGATCTTGTCCTGTGCATTAACTGGAGGAATTTTTCTTGGGAGTACTAAGTTAGTTGTAGGTAGTTAAATGGTTTCAGGTTGAGTTACCTGATTATGCAGGCACGATAAGAATAAATTTATCCTGCTACTAGATTTTTCCACGCTTCTTATGTAGTTTCATGAACATGCCGGAACTGTTAAGATTTTTGTTTTACATTATATTACATGTTTGATTCTCTAATTCCTCTCTTTTGCTGTCTGGTTATACCATGCTAACCACTTTTTGTTGTTTATATTGAGTTGTTGATTCCAAACGTTTCTTCTCCCGTGAAGGTTTATAATAGGTTTCTTCCTTGGTGCACTCCCTTGGTATGTCGGGGTAATGATTCTAGTCTGTTCCAGCAGACTAGACCACCGAGAGAAACCTGGATATATTGCATGTACAATTGCTGTAAGTGATTCCCTCTACCTTCCACTTTTGAATTGAAGCAAGTTTCAGCTTCATGTTCTGTATACATTTCCGTAGTGCCATTGCCATATTCAGATTTCATCTTGCCTCCCCAGAGGGTAGCACCGAACAATCTTGTACTCCCTAGTCCCTATTATAAGGCACTTTGGACTGATTCTCATCAAGGAATAACAGTTAACTCATTAAATCCATCTTAAATTGATAAAAAATTTCAATTTTATCCTTATTAATGAGGTTCTGAAAGAGTGAGAAAAATACGAAGAACCGCATTTAAGCATTAATTACGGTGGCAAATTTGACAAATAAGCATTAATAACTCTCTAAGGGTATGTTTGGATTAGCGGTGGAGAAGTAACTTTTTTTTCAATCTGACTTTTACAGAAGTCAGATTGGATAAAAACAGCTTCTTTGAGCTTATTGTATAAGTCCGTTTCAGTCACAGAAGTCAGATTGCAAAAATGTGATTCCAAACACATCCCAAATAAAAAAAGCTCCTTTTGCCAGTAGAGAAGTCAGTTTGAAGCTCCAGATGTGATTCCAAACACACCCTAAGTAATTTATATCAAAGACCAAAAAAAAAAAAAAAAAATCCTTTTAGAAGACGTCCTATAATAGGGACTGGGTGAAGCACTACTTTATCCGACTTGATTCTTTTCTGCTTTGAAGCCTCTTACGTACCCGAGCCTTTTAAGCATTATGCCCCTTTCCCAAAGTTCTTGAAATGATACAAAGTTATAAAGCTCTACAACAATCAAAAAGATGTCTAGGTTGGGGTTCAAGTCTCTCTCTCTGTTGAACTATATTGCAGCGTTTTCCCCATCAAACCGTTCCATGATTCATGAGAAGGGCCTCTGTCTATCTGATTAGATGGCTGATCTTGTGAGACTAATTTTGCAGGCTGTTCTTGCTACAATTGCAATTATTATTGGTGCAACAAGGGGACCACATGACTGGGATTGACTGGAAATTTTCAAATGGAGAGTTATACAGTCTTTTTACTTGGCATTGCATCAAAGTGGGACTTGTTACTGGAATCTGCACTTAAGTTTATGTACTGTGCTTAAAAGCCATGTTCATTGTTGCTGATAATCCCCTTCATATGCAATTTCTCCTGTTTGATTTGTCACAATTCGCTTGCTGGTACGTGGTTATTGTAATTATGATTTTAAGGGAAATCGTGTGCTTGTAATAACATATGAAGATGATATTATGTTCTTTATTAACATTTTGTATAAATGTTATTTTTTTCCCGCAAATATTATGAGAAAAACGCTTTGCAGTCATTCTGTGTGGGTAATCTGGCGCGTGGCCGATGTGGGAACAATAATCTGATTAGACTCGTTTTGATATGTTGTATAATCTCAGACATAAAAAACAACACTAGAGAAAATGGGTAAAGATAAGAAATAAAAACATAAATTTACGAGTCAATGAATTATAAGAACAAAAAGATTAAAAAATTATATAATAAAATAAATGAAAGAAATATAAACATAACGTAAAGAAAATATATTATTTATAAAAAAATTTAAAAAGCTACCCTATGGTACGAATGGAAATGGAAGATTCAGGAGGAAACAAGATGAAAAATTTTAACGAGATCAATTTAAAAAATTTTAAAATGACATTATAAGATTTGAATAAAATGAGAGCGTAAGATAAAAGTGTAAGAAAAATTGATTAAAAATTATTAGCCAAACTTTTTAAATTTCTTAAAATGTTCTATTTTTCTGAGTTGAATATAGATTCTAAGAAATAATTAATTAAAAACAAATTATTTGTTAATATTTATAATAATTTTATAAAATATTAAATTTAAAATATTGATTTTTTTTTCGTTGAACTTAAAGTATTGAAAAGCCAGACTAATTTTCTAAGAGTCTGTTTGGTACAGGAAAAACAGAAAGGCCCGGAGGAAAAATTTTAATAAGTTTGATTTAAAAAATTAAAAAAATAAGATTAAAAGATTTTAATTATTTCTTATTACTCTTTTATATTACATTTTTTTAATTAAAATTTTAAAACCTTATTTTTTAATTTTTTAAATTGAACTCATCGAAATTTTTTCTTCCTTTCTCTCCTTTTCATTTCTTTCGTACCAAACAAGCCCGAAGGGATTCGGTGAGTGTTAACTGTCGCCTCATTGTTTCTAATCATAAAACATTGATTCTTTTTTTTTTTTGTTTTTGGTGAATGTGAGATTACGAGGGAAAAAATTAGAAAGAAATAGAGAACCCCAGTCCGCGCCCGCTGCGGCTCAGCAGCTCTCGGTCTTGCTCGAGTCTAGACTCTCGTCTCACTCTCATGGTTAGAGTCTCACTCCTTTCGCTGCAACTCGCAGTCGCATCTTGCCTCTCAGCTCTCAGCCTCGTCGTCGTCTCTCATTTTTTGGCTCTCAGACTCGCAATCGAATCTCGGATCATCTGAATTTGACTCACCACTCTCAGGTACCAATGTTTTTATCCCTCTCTCTGTTCGCTCTATTTCCGGATTGATATTTAATAAAACTTATGTGTCTCCAGAATTACAGGTTACGAGGCAATTCTAGTTGTTTCATCAACCATGGAGGAGACTGCTAACCACTCAAATAATGGTGATGTCAAGAAAGAGTAAGTTTGTCTGTGTTGTTGCGCATTGAAAGCTAAATGTTATGAGTACTTCAATTTTTTGGTACTCAGACGCCCATAGGGACATGGTTGGAACTTTGTCAGGTTTATTTTCTAATTTCTTCACATAGGGACATGGTTGGAACTTTGTCAGGTTTATTTTCTAATTTCTTCACTTTGTTTACAGTGATGCGCCTCAGCTCTCTGCATTATTGAAAGAAATGAAAGAAGGACTTGATTCTATAAGAAGTAAAATTCAGTCTTTAACTGTCAAGGTACTGAAGCATCTCTATTAAGAAATGAAGTTTATTACTTTTTAGCGCTGCTTGCTTTTTCCTTGACTATCACAAAATTTATAATGCTATCATTTTGAATTTAACGCATTGGTTCTTACTTAAACTATTTTCTCGATACTTCTTTCTACCGTTGCCCCTTTAGCATGTCTAAAATAATTTGTTCCGTGTCTCTGAAATCAGGTCAAACAAGATGAGTACCCTACCGCGGAGGGATTTAGCTATCTTGAAGCTAAAAATTTGCTGCTCCTGAACTATTGTCAGTCCCTTGTCTATTATTTGCTCCGAAAGGCTAAAGGGTTATCAATAGAAGGACATCCTGTTGTGCGAAGTATTGTGGAGATTAGATTATTTTTGGAAAAGGTCAGGTTCAGTTCTCTGTCTTACCCTTGAAGATCATTTAGAAATATATATTCTGGGTTTAACAAATTCCACTTCCTCATCTACTGCAGATTCGGCCAATTGACAAAAAACAACAATACCAAATACAAAAATTAACAAAGGCTAGTGAGAATGTGAAGGGAAATGTTATTCCAAATGAGGAGCCAGTTGCACCCAATAAGAGTGAGGATCTATCAAAATATCGTCCGAATCCTGACATGCTTGTTAGCAAGTTAGATAACCAATCTCAGGTGAGTGATTAATAATATAGAATTCAGTAATGGTGGCATTATGAAGCTAGACATCTTGATTTTTCCTCTGACATAATTTCTTCATATTTTAGGATGGTGATGCTGTGTATCGTCCTGTAAAAATTGCTCCTACTTCTATGGAGTTAGATAAAACATCAAAGCAGGAAAGAAATGCGTTGAGAAGAGAGAAAGAGATTCTAAGGCAAGCTAAGCAGAGTGATTATATCAGGTCATTGATGAATGACATGGAGGATCGGCCTGAAGAGGTAACCTATTGTTTTATTTTGAGGCTTGAATGATAATGATTCAATGAGTTTAGTTGTTATATTATTTTGGCTGCATATGACACAGGTCAGGGATTTCATGGGAACCAGCAGGGAAGTTGAAAAACATGTTGCCAAGATGGAGGACCGTGCCCGGCAAGAAGAGGAGCTCTTCACTCGAGTCCCACTTTCAAAGATGGAAAGGAAGAGAGATAAATACTTGAAGAAATCAAGAAACGGGTATGAAAATTGCCTGGATTGTTATCTTATTATTTTAGCAAACATAACAAAGTGTTTGAGTTTGTGAAGATATTTTATACACACATCTTCCCCCTCGTTGTTAATTTTTTTCCAGGTTGCAAGGTCTGACAGAGAGTTTCTTTGACGAAATCAAAACATTACCCTTTGGGGATAAAAGTGGAGAGGAAATGGTGGGCTCTAGTAACAATGGTAGCAGGAAAGGAGGACTGAAAAAGCGAAAGGCATGCAACTTATACTTACCTTCTAAAACACAATTATCGTGTTACTTGAGCTACGGCTCGTGCTTTATATTTGTTTGTTCATCCAGTATCGCATCTGAATGGGATTTAACAATGCTATTACCTATCCCCCCCCTTCTCCCTGTTTTGCCTGAACAATGTTGTTGCCTATTTATTCGCCATATGTTTTTATAACATTTTTGTTCTCTAGATGCAAGGGTGAGTGGATTGTCTCCCCTTGCTGTCCTTTAAAATATTATGTATGGAAACCCATTAACCTTGGTCAAAATCACGTTTTAACTAGAGTGAGTTACATAGGAGTAGTTTTGTCTCGAAAGTTACTAAAATCCGTTTCCAACATGGAAACTTGATGAAACCATATCAATGGAGTTTTGGAATTGACATTTTTGTCTTATTTGCAGAGGAGACATTGAAGCTGACATTGAAGCTTGTTTTCACCTTAGAGAGTGGATGAAGTTGCTATTCAGAACTCGGTTATTGTGGCTCCGGGAGGAAGGTGTAGGGATGTAGGGAGGGCCTATCTTGCCCAAATTTTTCGTTTGACCATTTTGGATCTTTTTGTTTCGAAGATAAATTACTTGGTCATCTTTAGTCCTTATATCAAATCGTCAATCTAATGTCTTATTGTAATTTTTTATTGGGAGAATAGGTTTGTCAGTCCTTTAGTTTTATTAGATTTTGAATTAGGTCCCTCTAGTTTTTTTTTTTTTTTAATTATTGAATCCTTATACTTTGTTCTGTTAAAACCATAGGTCCTTCTGTTAATAAATTCTCAAAACACTGTTAGTTGGTCTCTCTCTCCTGTTAAAAGCGGGTGGCTCTCTGTCATCAGCCATAACCACTTCAATGATGACGCTGAGAAGGAGAGCTCTTTCTTCAACTGGTTCTGCTTCTCCATCAATATCGGCGTGTCGCTTCTATGTTGTTGTGGATGTTGATGCTAATCGATGAAGGTTATGTGCAATCCAGCACATTTGTACAGGACTCTAACTTGACTATAAGAAAGCCCAGCAGCTCGCATTAGGCTCTTCTATCTAGTTGTAATTTATTATTTAATACTCTTCCAGTCCTTAATATAAGATTCATTTAACTAATTTGATTGGATTAAGAAAGTTAGTAAAGTTAGTTAATTACAAGAAATGTGATATGTTTTTTCTAAAATATCATAATCATCTTTTTTAATATCCCTTCTCTTTCTTCTATTTAATTATAATTGAAAGAGTGTTCATAATGATAATTTAAAAAAAATTGATAAATGTGAGAAATAGGTCTTATATTTAGGATTAAAATCAACTCAATAATTGAGTTTTATATTAAGAATCAAAAGAGTATCTTGTTTGGTTACTATCTCTGCACGCTATTTCATGAAAGCTTTTTTTCTTGACGACGTTAGAGGAGGTTGATAGTTTCTTTCTTTTTTTTGGCCTTGAAGTTTGATAGTTTCTTTCAAGCTTTTGTTTTGATTTGATAGTTTCTTTCAAGCTTTTGTTTTGAGACCCTTGCATTATTCCATGAAAGAGTATTGATTTTTTAGTTTCAAGTGCTCATGACCTTCGGCAATATTAATTTATGATTTTAGATTGATCAATGCCAAAAAAGTAATCATAGTTATTAGAGTTTTAGGGATGAGGCTGTTTGGAGTGCCTAGAGGCTAAGGATGATGGTCACCTAGTCTGCAAGAGCTAGATACCCACTATTCCCACGTACCTTGTTCCTCAAAGACCCTGTCTTCATGAGTTGGAACCCACTAGTAGGATCCCACATGTGCTAGCCCCACCTCCTTCCCTCTTGGCAGAAGGCTCACTACTGGAGTAGTAGCATGGAAGCGGCACGCCGATATTGATGGAGAAGAACCAGTTAAAGAAGGAGCTCTTCTTCTCCTTCTTGGTGTCATGATGAAACTGGTCATGGTTGATGAGAGAGAGAACCACCGGCTTTTAATGGGGGAGAAAGAGCAACTAACGGTGTTTTGAGAATTTATTAATGGAAGGACCTATGACTTTAACAGAACAAAGTATTAGGATTCAATAAAAAGAAATAAAATTAGAGGGACCTAATTCAAAATCCAATGAAACTATAAGCATTGACAAATCTATTTTCTTTTTATTGACCATTGATAATAAGAGTTAATCCAATGCTTCTGAGCTTGTCATTGCTTTCCCTAATTTTGCCAATTGGGCATTGATTCCGCTTGGTCATTGAGATTGAACAAGTTTGTTTTGATGTTTTGAAAATGAAACCTGTCATTCTGCCTGACTACGTCGCTCTTATTTAAACTCAACAAATACTCAAATCTGATCTAATATCAAACACTGCAGATCAAACATTACCTTTAGTCATAAATATAAAATGTAAAGCAACAATAATTTATTTAATTAAGATATTTAGATACACACAAAAAGCTAGGCAAAGTTGGAACAAGCGAAACAACCGCACATATCGTTGGTGACACAATATCCACGTGCATAACCTTTGACGCGAGTACAAAAGTGCGAGCAATCTTTGTCTTTGCAGTTAGGTGTTTGGAATGCGCCACGAGGACAGTTCCGAGTTTGTTGTTCACTTGCTGCCTGCGCCTCAAGACCTGGTCAAAAATTGTTATCATAAAAAAATGCCTCATTTTAATAGTCTGCAAAAAATTTGGAATCTCTAAATAATACTTTCTCAGATTCAAAATATAAGTCCCTCTTGTTTGAAGCAATTCTATTCAAGGTATTGTTGATTACTAAATGTGGCTCCTTCCAACAGATATTCAAATATTAGCCCATCATATTCTAAGAGATTAGTTTTTTTTTGCTAGATTCAACCCCATTAGTTAGTTACTTATTTTTTGTTCCTATGTAGTGGGTGAAAGTGACTTATATTTTGGACAAAAGGACAAGCTAGGTTATCAGAATCATGAGTTTATGAGTAAAATTATGACAAAAATTTAGACTCAGATTGTAAATATATATATTTAATAGTTGAAAAACAAAAAATATCTCGGAATCTATTCTTACCGGTAATGAATAAGAGAAGCATAAGAACGACAATGACCTTGCTGCTTTTTGTAGAATTCATATTTAGAGAATATGATTTGGAGTGAAAATATGAAATGTGATCAGATCAAGCGGGATGCAAACTGTTTCTTTATATACAGCTTGGAGAGATTGCTTGACATTTAATTTCTCGGGTTTTCTTCCAAAAGCAGTTGATTATAAATCATTAAATTTCTTGGATTTTCTTCCAAAAGTAGTTTATTAATTATACAAATATGTAATTTTTTTCCTTACGAGAAGTTGATGAGATATATATATATATATATGTATCTGATAAATTGCATATTATTTATTTTAGGATTTTCTTCCAAAACTAGCAGGTTATGAGGTTTAGTTTAACAAAAAAGAAACAGATAGTAAATCACTATCAATGAATCATCAATCGATAAACTTTATTCCTAAAATTTTGTAATAGCCAGTTGAATTAAAAGTGGGTCGGTAGGGTTTAGCAATAAATATCAATAAATACTTTCAATGCCACACGTTAAAAACCAATATTAAAAAATTAAATGAATACCTTCAATGCCATTCCAGTGGTCAGTTATTAGCAGAGAGAGAATGGCTATAAAATTAAATGCATAATAATAGCTATTAATTGAAATATTTATCATTCTTATATTATTTATAGATACTTGTATCCCAAGTCCACAAACTAAAAAATGCATTAAATTGATACTTCTTTGATTCTATTTATAAGACACTTCCAGGATATTTCACACAGACCAAAAAAAGCCTTAAAATGCATTAACTCTCCATTAAAATATAACAATTTTCCAACTTTACCCCTATTTAATATATATATATCTTTCAAAAAAGATAACTATCTACATTATAATAAATGAAGGATGAAATATTACATTCACATTAAAAATTTAATGAAGTGACTTATAAATAGGACCCAAAAAAAACTTCTCTCTCTGCCTTATAAATAAGACTAGAGGAGTAAATTCTTTCACATTTATCCTCATTAAAAAATGATATGAAAATTATATTATATATTTTCTCTCACCTATTTACTTGATATCTCTATGCATTTATCAAGTTAACAGGGGTAAAAACTGGAAAAAAAACTCATTAATTACTCTACAAGTGACTTATATTTAGGAATAAACTTTTTTTTATAAATAACTTATAAATAAGAGCAAAATAGAGTATCTGAATAACTTACATTGTATATATTAATAAAATCATATTGTCAAATATGATTATTTGAAAAAAATACATCAGCATAAATGAACGGAAAATACGGAATCATCTCCATAAGCAACCAATTAGAATAAATTCATTACTCTTTAATTGCATTAGAGATTTTTAAAAATTATAAAAAAAAAGAAGTTATTGGGATATTAGTACCCAATAACTTATACTGTGTATATTAATAAAATCAGATTGTGAAATATGATTATTTGGAGTGGGGAAAATGCAGCCTTTGTTAATGAAGTTTACATCTTACAGAAACAGTGGCTGCATTGTATTACAATTGAAATTGTTGGTATGCCCTGATTTTTGCTATCTCTTGACCTTTTGTTATTGTTGGCAAATTAACGTTTACATTTGAACTTTCAACAACACGAGTCCTTCGTTAAACTTTTTATATTGGGCTTAGGCTAAAATGTTTCTTAAAAAAATCAAAAATTGAATTGTCCAAAGCCATGGATGTAATTGAAGAATTGTATGCTACCTAGCTAGAGAAACTTTCTTAGCTATGGTTTGTCAATAAACACATGGGAATCATCTTAGCCAGGATTTAATTAATTTCAAGATTCTTAGTTTTAATGCGACTCTACACATATCTAGTTGATAATTTGGCTCTGAAAATAGATTTCATTTGTAAATACTAAATAGGTAAAATTAAAAATTTCTTGAATCCCCAATGAGAGAGGTTATCACATTTATTGTCAGATAGTGTCTTGAACAAGATTATTTCCAATAAAAGTAAGCATGTGCTTATTAAAAAAAAAACTTATTCTTATTTATAAAAAGAATAAGTAAGAGAAACAATAAGTGAGAAAAATGATGAAATAGAATGTATGGAGAAGGATGATAAAAAAGTATGGCGAAGAACATAAGTAAAATTAGAAAAAAAATATTAAATAATCTGACAAATGTAGTTATTAAAAAAGATCTAATCTTTCAAAAGTTTGATCCTTATATTTTGAACCGGAAAAGGCAATTAAACACGACTATAATGCCGTAGTTAAATTAAAAATAACCATTGACTTGGGAGAAGGGGTGTGAAATGTATTTTTCCACACCGAATAATGAAAAGAATGGTATAGCGATTTAAAATTCTAAGAACAGAAGGGGAAAACAAAAGATCTTTCAAAAAGCATATGGCCATG